GTAATTAGTTTCCTGCGCCCCACTACAGATTCAATTTTAGCTGTTTTCACAGGCCTCAGCAGGACAACAACTACTTCTTTAAGAAATAATATCCACCCTTCCGTATTTGTTTATATAAAGAAGTGGGAAAAGAAAAGGTTTTTCTGTGCACATGTGTATAGAAAATCAGACCTACTTTGGCTTTCTAGATTTGTTCCGCTGTAATGGCAAGCCAAGTTACATCTTGCTAATCTTGATGTAACTCTGCCACTTGTTAGTCCTTGATTGCAGCTCTCGCCTCACGAACGCTACCTCCCCCTCCCCCCAAAAAAGATGAAAGACCTAAGTACAGTACTCATGGACTAAAACATGACATCACAATGTTTAGAATAACGACTGATGTGTGCATTTTCTGCTCGAGATGAACAAGGCAAGAGGCTGTAAATTTTGTCTATAAAGGCAACGTCGGCTCTGATATAAGTGTTCCTGACGAAATTATCCCGATACTACATGAACTAAGGTGTGCACTACTTGGACCTAAACTGTCACGTTTGTATTCGTGGCTACTGTGCTCATTCATCCTTACTATGCCTAGTTCTAATAAGCAACTGGTGGTCTGTGTCACAGTGCGAGCTTTTCGAAGCTTAGCTGTCACCTCCTCTCATCTGCTAAAAACACGTTATCCCATATACATTCGCTTAAGATGAGTAGAACGCGAAAGCAGCCGTTTTTTTTTTTCCTCGGTCTATGTGCATGTGCTTATTCTACACCACTACACCCCCTCCCCCTCTGAACTCCTCCGAAAGCGTTATGTATCTGAACAATATTCTCACTGCGTGAAGCAATGGAGGCATTGCAAGTTTTTTTTTTTACAATTTACCTGAGTTTTCTGTGCCTCCGAAATTTAATTCAATTTCGATTCAATTTTATTTTCGAGTATGTGTAGTGTCGTCCTGTGTTAAAGGGAACCCTCGAATGAGCACCTTTCATATTCCTAGCCCCCAATTACAAGTGAATGTTAAAGCGTTATTCATACATGACATTAGCCTCTAAACAGAAGTCACAACTCCCAAGCACCAGTAGTGTTATTCAAATGCAAGAAACTATGCTTTTGCGGCATTGCAAAATACGGAGGTGCCCTGCACTTAAGTGTTCTCTTTAACGGTGGACCCATCTTTACATGATGCATGGTTGCGGTGGGTGAAAGGCTACGCAAGTAGCTTAACGATATCCTACGACCAGGTTATACAAAACAGCAACAACATGTAGTGTGGTCCAACAATTAGGATGAAAAACAGCAAATGGCGAGTGTTAAACGCAGCGTTAATACACTGGTTATCATGGAATTCTAACAATAGCTAGACCTCGTCCCACCATTCTCAAAGCAACTACGTCATGCAACAAGGTCATCATTTGAAGTCACACTTCATGACGTCATCATTGCGTGACATAGTTTGCCAACCTGTGACGTCATGATGAGTTAATGGAGACGTCATCGCGTGATGGTGATTTTTCGCATTACTTGCGTTGACTGGATTGGATAAACTTTTTCTTTAGTCCTCCAAAACACAGATCACTGTGTTGCGGGCTGCTCCCACGTGGGGACTGAGATTCCGAGCTCCTCAACCGCCTCACGGGTTTGGTTGACAGCCCAGAGCTGATCTGCCAAGGACGAGCTGCGGATTGCCGCCTCCCACCTGACAGACGTGATGTTCGGTAAATGAGCGAATTTGGTACACTGCCAGAGCATATGTTCTGATGAAGCTGTTTTCCCACAATGTGGGCAAAGGTTACTTGGCTATAGGTCAGGGTAGATGATGTGTAAAATTTTCAAAGTAGGGTACATCCGCATTTGCAAAAGCCTAACGTAAGTGCTTGGGGCCGGGTTAGATTATTGTGAGGTGGAGGACAAATCCTTCTGGACAGGTGGAAATGTTAAGTGAGCTCGTTATATGTTGTGAGAATTTTCTGGTTATCCCCTTCACCGGTAGAACGAATGCCCGGGGAGGTGCTGCTTCATTATGATTGGGAGGGGAGTCGTTGATTTGTCTAATGTGGGCTGAGAACCAACTCAGAAGATGATGCGTTATGTCCTTGCCATGTAGTATTCCAAGCGTTTGTTCTGAGACCGTCTTCTTTGCGAAGGCCCGTAGTGCTGCCATGGAATCACTGTAGACGACTTCAATGTTATCCATCTTGAGTGATAAAGCGATGGCCACCTGTTCCACAATGATTGGGTCTTTCGTTCTGACCATCGCCGAGTTGACGGCATGGCCAGCCTTATCGACCACCACTGCCACAAAAGCTTTCCCATTGGCGTAGGAAGCCGCGTCAACAAATACGACCCCTCGTTCCTCGTTTGAGACTTGACGAAGTATAGTCCTGGCCCTCGCTACTCTTCTTCCGTTGTTGTGTTCTAGATGCATGTTTCGTGGTATAGGAGATACCGTGACATTCTCCCTGATGTTGTCGGGGATATCATTGTATTTGAGTCTAATCGTCATTGGGCGTTGGCCCAGCTCCTGCAGGGTCATTCTCTCCGACCTTGCTTTAGACAACCTTGCAAACTGTGCTCTCTCTTGGGCTTCTGCTATTTCTTCGAGCGTGTTGTGAATGCCAAGCTCAAGTAGACGCTCGGTGGTGGTGTGTATGGGTAGTTCCAGGACCTTTTTGATAACTTTCCTGAGGAGCACATTCAGTTTCTTTGACTCTGCTCTAGACCAGTTGTGCATTGCTGGCTCGTACGTGAAGTGGCTTAGAACAAACACATGCTTCAACTTTATGAGGTTGTCTTCCTTGATCCCATTTCTTTTGTTGGCCACTCTGCGTATGAGGTGCACCCCACCTTCTCTTTTTCAAGTTAACTTGGCCATAGATTTGCTGTCAGCGCCGGTAGGCTCTATCAACATGGCCAGGACTTTTACGAAGTCGACCCTCTGGATCGCACCCCTTGAGTTGTACGGAGGTGGATGTCTATCTGGTTTAACTGCTTCCATCCCCTGGGCTTCGGTCCCCGGCGTATAGTTCGATACAGTAAAGGTTCTGACTTGCTCGAAGAGAACTTGAGCCCAGAAGGACGAAGGTACCCTTCTACAGTGTCAATTGCCTCTTGCAGGGCGCTCTCAATCTGCCCCTCACTCCCGCTTGTGCACCAGATGGTAATGTCAATGCGTAGATGCTGTGCATCAATCCTTCGATGCTAGATAATTTCTTTCACAGTCCAATCATGGCAATGTTGAACAGCATTGGTGAAATTACTGCCCCTGGCGGCGTGACCCTTGCTTCTAGTTCGTTTGCTGCTGTCTTGATATCTGCAATCTTCATCACGGCTTTCCGATCTGTAAGAAAGAACCATACGTAGTCATAGAAGGCCCAGACCAAGCTTGGAAATTGGTTCGAGTATGAATGGGCCATTCAATGCTTTCGGCTTTATAATATAGCTCGCCATCATTGGGGTCGCGTTCTTTTTGTTGATTTGCTTCGGTGGTAGTGCATATAGATCTCAGGAGGGATATCGTTCCGGAGTGCTGATTGGCTGGTTTCTTCCCTTTACTAACTTTCCTCTCTCTAATCTTTATTTACTCTATTCCTTTCCTCGTCCTTAACGCGTAAGCAGGCGTTGCGCCCAGCTAGGGGGCAGTTCTCAGCTTGCTCTTTGCCTTTTTATCTCTGTGCTTCTGTATTTGTGCATGCGAATTACGTAGCGCAGCGGCGATCACTGAACAGGAATACGACGAGTTGAACCCTCGTTCCACCTTCGTCACGTCATGTGTTCGTTTATACGCTACGTGTCGTCTTAACCCGTGCATTCTAACTGCTCGCTGCTTTCTACTAGACCAATCTTTCACTAGACCACGCTGCCCGCCCCTAACTCGGCCACCCTATATCCCAAACACAAACAGGATGCAGCGCTTCTCCCGTCCACGCTGCCAAGTGACCGTGTGCGAGGTGTTGATGGACGAAGCTCAGCAGCACGATGCAGGCTGGGAAGAGGAAATCGGAGTGGTTCTGTCTACCCCTGAGAGATACGAACGCCCTTTGGAAGCAGCCGAAGGGTAAACCTTACTGCCGCAAAGCAGCTGAGAAACCGTTGTTGATATCCATACCGCTACATGTGTCCCTGATGTTCGGTAACCAGCGGCCGTGAGCGCCCCCCTATGAGTCGCGAAACGGTTAAGCTGTGTCTGATGTGTTGGCGGTGATGACCACTTCAAGTGCTCGTTTACTCGTTATGCCTATTCAACTGAATAGTTATTCATACAATAAAACGTGTAGAGATAACAATTATAATGTATCTGTCTGTAACTTCATGCAGGTTTGTTAAACTGGTGTCATATTGCGCGTTGCTGATCACGATTGAGCAAGATCCTGAATCAATTCTCAACAATCATTGGCTCCCTACTGCCGCTTGCGTAGAGAAGCCAAACATGATCGATAAATTCTATACGAATTAGGCTGAATAGCGATCAAAGGTGTCTGCTTCAAGGCTGGTGCAAGAGTAAGGAGGTCAAGTCTTGACGACCGGCAGGTGGCGGGACTATCCGTAAACCCCGTAATCCAGGCTCCATCAGGGTACTGCGGATACGGACGGAACGGGTTTGAACGCGGAGAGCATGGGACTTGCCTGGTTTCGCAATCCCTCGCCGGTGCGATCGAACCCGGGAGGGACGGCGGGAACGGTGGCGGCGGCGCCTTGGTCGACTCTCCTCCGCGGCTAGCGGCGGCGTCGGCCCAGCAACGTCAAGCGGCGTCTCGACGAGCAGCAGCAGCAGCAGGGCTCGTCAGGAGGCGTCGCAGGACGCGGCGCGGTGGCGGCGCGTGGCGCGGATACGGACTGCGCTGCCTCGGCGGTGGATGTTCGGAGCTGCAGTCTCGCGGCCGCCGCGGCTGCTCCGCTGCCGCCCGCCCGCGGCGGTCGCTGGCGACGAGGCAGCTCGACGGGTAGCGTGCTCGCCGAGCCGTTCGCCTGGCCCCTGCATGGCCCCTTGGGCGGGGGAGCGGGATCGCCGCGGTCGGCCGCCATGTCTCGCCTCAGCGTGCGAGCGCTACGAGTGCTGACGCCCGCGTCGGCGCTGGCCTCGCTCGTGGCGAACGCCATCGCGCTCTGTTCCAACAGCTGGCTCCACAGCACCGAGCTCATGCCCAACCCGAGCTACAACGGCTCCGGGGACCGCGAGCAGCTAGCCAAGAACACCGTGTCCGGGCTCTGGAAGATCTGCTTCAACGAACGTGAGCTCTCTCACTTCTCCTCCTCTCCCTCGGTCTCCCTCCTCCTTCCGCGAATCGCTTCTTCGCCAGAACTAGTCCCCACAAGAGGCTAGTAGAATGCGGGCGTTCTAAGACAGTTCGAAGCTGCCGATTTACACGCGCAACAGACGTTCCTTTGCGTGTGGCACGGTACGGGTGTCCACCGACAAGCGGAGCTGGTCACGCAAATGCGATCACGTTTCGCTCTTGAAGGCGCAGCTCAAGAGTCCTCCGAGTGTATGCTTCGTTTGTAGAAACTCTGGTTCGGCAACAAAACAGGGAAAGAAGACTACTTACTACGCTGTGGGCTAGCCGTTCTGGAACTTCACCGCTAACTTCAAGTTCACGCAATGGAATCCGGTCCCCATTTATGGTGAATACAAAATTGCTTGAGGCCTGTGTTTTTAGATTGATGTGCTCATTAATGAAGGGCAGACCGTTGAAATTTACAGGGCCCTCGACTACGGCGTCCTTCGTGTTCTGGTCTCGTGACGTCAAACTCCAACTACCCTTTGCCCAACCAACTCGCTCCATCCTTCTTCGAATCCCCTTTTTCCGACAACTAGTTCTCTGAAAAGCGTAATAGAATGTTGCCGCTTTTTTATTCGCCGAATAACGAAGGCAGTGGGCATGATTTATTCTCCTACAAGGGCTAACCAGATGCACCTACAGTGATCAGGCTTTGTAATCTTCCTACACTCTTTTAGACAAGTCAGTCGTCCCTCAACTTTCATTCAATAAAGAAACATCCTAATGGACAGGTCAAGTTTATTACATAAGAGGTAATGTAGACTATTCACTACGTATACGCGCAAGATCAATACTTGACTACGCCCGCGTTACTTGGGGACCAGGTGCAAAGTGCAGTGCAGAAACAATAGGATATGTTTAAAACGGAGCAGCCCCGATTTGCTAGCATTAACTGCAAACCTCTCAGAAATAAATGCTGGGAGACACTACAATATGGAAGGCGGACACGTTCCTCGCCTTAAAATCCTGAGGTCAGGCTTTACGGTGAAGTGTGCTTGCAATACAGGTCTTCTTTCCACCTTTACGGTAGTCTCCGTTGGAGTGCGCGGGTGACGCCCTCTTGCATCTACCTATTAGAGACGGACTCGCGTGCACGTAAAAGTAGACACTGCCCCCTTTTACCTGACTCGACGTTTCTTTTTCTCCCAGTGGTTTCGAAATGACGCTAGTGTGTATGAGAGGTCCATTCGTTTGTGCCTACGCTCTCAGATGCAGTCTTGTGATGATGCTTCCTCTAGAAGATTTCATGATTCCGATGCCATTTGCTTTGTCTGACGTGTTGCAGACGCTTAGAATTAGGAATGGCTCAAAAAAGGAGAGTGTTGAGGCAATAAATGATACTTCAATGCCTCGTCATCCACTGTACATCCAACCCCGAAAGGACACCGGGTGTTGCTGCAATTAAAGTTTGGAAACGTTCATAATACTGTGCAGCGCATTGTAGCTGATAATCTTCCGGCCGCATCTTGAGTCGTTTTTCCCACAAAAAGCACTTTTTAAAGGACGAAACAACTTGCGGTCTCGGCTTACATGCGCCACAAAAAAAGGAAAAATTGCGTCACTCGGCACTGGTTCATACTGTGCGTATTATGAGTTAAAGGTTTGTCGTTACTGCATAAAACATTCTGTTTGGTTTAATGGCAGTGTCGGAATCCTTAACTAAATTTATCAAGGTGCTCAAGTTTCTTATCTGAAAAAAAAATTGGCAGCATATCCACGAAGTAAATGATAGAGAGTGGGGCGAAGCATTCGTCCGTCCATTCGTTCTTCTTTCCGTCCGTCCATGCGTCCGTCTGTGTGACCGTCCATGCGTCCATCCGCCCGTCCGTTCCTGCGTTCGTCCATGCATCCGTCCCTGCGTCCGTTCATGCGTACATCAATGCATCTGTCTGTGTGTCCGTTCGTCCATCTATTCAACACCCCAAGTACCACCATCTCGCATCTTTTCATCATATATTCCCCATATAGAAGCACTGTCATCCAGCGGACATTCCAAAGACTGGACGAGAGGAGGCACACGAAGTGACTCTTGAAAAGGGAAAAGAAGAGAAAAGTGAGCCCCGTTATTGTCTGCTTCAGTGAGCGACACCGCCACACTAGCTCACGAGGGATGGGGGTGAGGAGGGATAAAAAGGATAGGAGTAAAGATGTAGGAAAGCCGAAGAAGGAGAAGAGAAGAAGAGACGTGAGGTGGTGAGCCAGAGCGAGCGACGACAAGATGAGGGGATAGAAGAGAGAGGAAAGATGGGAGCACGGTCACTGGAGTCCGAGGACGGGGCGCACCTGCGAGAGCTCCTTTCGGCGTCGGTGGATGGCGTAGAGCAAGTCCAGTAAGTCAGAGCTGCACTGTCGTCGGAGGTGGAAGGTCGTCGGCGGCAGGAGGTGACGTAGGGCGAGCCCAGTCGGCCAGAGCCACGATGACGCCGGAGGTCGCAAGCGCGCGGAGCACGCGAGCGCGCGACCGGTCAGCCCGAAATCCAGCAAGCGAGTCGAGAGGAGGCACACGCACACTTTCTTACGGCTTGCGCTTCGGGTCTACTTCCCACCTTTAACCACCTCGAGTTCATGGTATATACTAGTTCACTGTATTCATGGCACTGCGGCCGAACGCTCGCTAAACCTTTCGAAAACCAAGGAGGTTACGCCCAGCGAGTATAATGCAGCAACCTTTTCCTACCAGATAGTGCTCAGTGTACATGCAAATGGCTGCTAATGGGAAATGAGAGACAGGAGAATTCGGCTTTTACTTTCTTACGGCTTGCGCTTCGTATCTACTTCCCACCTTTAACCACCTCGAGTTCATTCATGGTATATACTAGTTCATTGTATTCATGGCACTGCGGCTCAACGCTCGCTGAACCTTTCTAAAACTTGGGAGGTTACACCCAGCGAGTATAACGTAACAACCCTTTCTTGTCAGATGGTGCTCAATGTACATGCCAATGGCTGCTAATGGGGATCGCAGCGTGCGCGTTAAATAAAAGCCGAGTGCTCCTGTCTCATTCCTTATTAGCAGCCATTGGCATGTACATTGAGCACTATTTCTTATTGTTAAACAACGCACAGAAGAAATCTCTCACCGGCACCATTTGGAGGTCAAAATGTTATTCTTGTTACATAATACAACGGCTACGAGGGACGAACGGGTGCTGCTATAAGGAGCTTCGCCCCTATAACGAGAGAAACAAACGTGCATCTCTACGTTGGAGTAATGTGTTCGAAACGCATTTGTGAAGTGACAGTGCGTTAGTGGCGAATTGTCCGCAGATTCTGGGCCTCATCAAGTGTGAGGCCCAAGGGACGCCTTCATGTTCCCCCGTAGTGGAGTACCTATTGCTCTAAATTTTTACCCGCTTTTTCTGAACACACAATAAAGCACTAAAGAGTAAAAATTATGCTGGTGGAAGCACGTTGCATGCTTCCTCGATCCCCATGTTTCACGTTAGTGGAGCGGCCACGTTTTCTTTAAAGCTTGCTCCTTCGGTCGTCACTGAAACGTACTCTGCTCCTTCTACAAACTTCATAGTAACCATCTATACCTTTGTCGATTATACGCAAATAGCTAACGTATAGCGAGAGAGGGTGGGATGCTTATTGGAATGGTCCAGATAGCCTGGCTCGTCGCCTTACGTGCAACTTTTTGCGCTGGGTCACGATCATGATACATCACCTTCAACCGCCCTGTGTATACGCCAACTTCGGAGACGTGTCACTCACCGCGTGTTTTTCAAATAGTTTAAAACGCAGTGTGCGCACCATAGGTCGGCAAAAAATGGGGAGCTCGCTCAGACTCGCTAATGAATTATAGTTAGCGCTCACGCAAACTCACCAAACGTTTTCGGAGCCAGACTTACACTCACAAAATTTTCCTTCAACTGGACTCACTCGGACTCAGAGTGACCAAAATGTTACTCAACTGGAGACTCACCGCTTGATCTGAGCGAGTCCGAGGGAGTCGACTCACCAGTCCGTTAGTCAAGAATTAGCCTTTTCGACCACGGTGTGAATGTTCTTCAACACCAATATCTCATTTATTCGGTGCTCTTCTAGGCACCCTTTGGCATTCGACGTTCAAACAAGAGTTACGAGTGTTTGCAAACTGGCAAGGACATTTTTTTCCTCAAAGAGGTAACAATACAAGATACATTTATCAAGAACATTCCAGGAGCAGTTGGTGGGGGAAGGGGAGAATTCAAGGCGCTTCCCAGCGTAATTCATGCCTCTCATCCATAAATATTGAAAAGGCACATGGATGCTGATGCTTTAAGAATCCGTGTGAGTAGACGGGAGTATAAACGTGAATCCTGGTAGGACTCATAGTAATGCTGAAAATGAGTCGGCAAACAAAAGTGGAGCTTACTCATACTCACTCAGGAAATAAATCTTGCACTTTCGATTCACTCGGAATCGCACTCTGCAAAACTTTTTCTCACCCGAGAGCTCATCGGCCGGGCTACCCTGGGACCGAAGGATACCCGATCCGTGGCTGCAGAGATGAAGGTAGTAGAAAACACCTACTCGTCGCTACTTCAACACTAAAAACTGGAGTGACGGATGTACCCTCCACCCCATCCAAGACTAACTGAAGAAGACAGCGTGATTTTCAGACGCCTACAAAGCAACACTTACATATATGGAATATTAATGCACCGCCTCTACCCAACGGCACATGGCTTCTTGTGCCCGCTCTGCAGCGTACCAGATACCCTGGCGGACTTGCTCGTAGAATGCCAGTGCCATGCAAACCACGACGTGCAACTGGAGCAGGACCAAGCCCCAAGAATAAACGACGACCACCTAATGGAAACGTGGGAGGCCAAGCTCGTCCTCGAGGACCTGGAAGACCAGCGACAACTCGTCGCCAGGGCCAAGAGGGCAGTCGAAGCCAAAGGGTTTCTGGACTAGGGAATCCTCCCACCTTAGTGTGACACCGGGCCTCGCTCGGAACACTG